AAAAGTCAAAATCAATAGTACGTGTTTAAAATCAATTCAAATTGTGGTGAAATAATTGTAATTATACACAATTTTTAATTACTAAAGTGTTGTAAATTAAGGTGTATCTTCACATGAATCGTTGTATCGTTCTCATCCAAAAATATAATGGAATATAATTAATGATAATTACGGTATACATTAAAATAGAGAGAAGACGAGATATATAGTGAACTATCTATCATTCATCCTTCAATCCAATATATTTATGATTTACAGAATTCCAATATATATAATAAGTCTATAAAGTAGGAAGATATTATATATCATAATATAATTCCTCTAGTAATGTCCATATTTATTTATTTACAACTCCTCCTTGGAAATTATTGTATCATGCTCATGTCTCTTTAAAACCTCACTAGAAATGTCCAATTTGAAAAACCTAGTTTCGACAAATAATACATATATGAGGTTTGTGTATTCATGTGTTACACTAGCTGCATTGTTAAAAAATCTTTAATTAAGAAACTCATATATCTAAAAACTCAACCAAAAAAATATAGTTGTTGGTCTTCAAGACCCAATCTTCAAGATTGAATCAAATAAATATCACTCTCTCTAAAGATAACAACTTGAAAATATACACGTTCTAATATAATAAACACATTTTGAAGAATAAGTGTAGAAAGGGATTTGGTGAACAAATATGATAGATAGATTGTCACTAGAGTAAACATTTTGTATAATAATCCAGTGACTCTTTTGGAGCTCACATGGGTTCAATATTGACACTAAATGTTTTGTCGAATATTCATTAATATACATATTTCTCATTTGTGCAACACAAGTTTTATTGTCCTCATATAGGACGATGAGATAATACATAGCATAACATGTTTGGGACTTGATATCATGGTGATCAAATAAAATATATTTGATCAAAATCAATTATGAGTCTTTGCATAAACCTTTGAGTTACAACTCTCGCTTTATATTGCATCACCTCACTATTTTTATTTATTTTTCGTACAAACACTCATTTATAACCAATATGGTTAACATTTAATGGTGCATGTGTTATAGAGAGAATACATTCCTTTTAGCAAGCTAAGCTATACTTTAATTGTTCCTTTATATATTAAATAATCAGGGTACTTTCTAGCACCTAGCTTTCAATACAGATTGTCATATAATATAAACAATTATACAAGCAATTGTGTTGTCGACAACTTAAATAATTTTATCATAAAATTTTCTCATTGTCATATATTCATGGTAATGTCTAACTCAACTAGATTTTTGTCATTTTTTAAAGATGCTTAGATCTGGTCGTTCCGCATCCCTAATTTTATGATTATTTGGTGCACCTATAAATTTATTGGCCCTGTTTGGTAAAAAATTGGCCTATAGGCCAATTTTGGCTTATTTGACCACTATTAATTGTTTGATTTAGTTAAAATATCAATATAAATGTTTGGTTAATTAACTTTTTACAACTCCAAAAGGCTAAAATTCAAAAAGCTACTCCAAGCAACTTTTTCAATTAGCTTTTTGAGAAAAGAAATTATACCAAACAGCTATCAGTTAACAACTAATTTACCAAACACTTTTCTACAATCAGCTAATATTATCAACTATTCATACCTTCTAATTAACACAATCAACTAACAGCAAACAGCTATCAGCTAACCGCCATTTTACCAAACAGGGCCATTGAGTCTTTCGTTTAGAAGACGAACGGCTTCAAAACATAATTCCATAATAGATTTCATGAGTGGCAAAATCTTTTACTAGATTTAGTTTTCTAAGAATCCTTATCTTTTACCTCGATAGTTGAAAATCAATGGTTAACCAAATTCATGGACCAAAGTCTATTATTTAGGAAACCACTGTTGAGACCTGTATTGTCTATGCACATTCTCTAGGTTGATAGTTTTATAGACATTGGCCAACCATTCCATGTACAAAACCTCTCGAATGTGGCTAACCTTTAAGAGAATGAAAGTATCTTATTTGATGAACTCCATTCTCTCACTAGACATATGCTTTTTATTTTGTTTGATAGATTTCAAGTAACGTAAGAAAAATAATCGGTGGCAGATTAAATAACCAATCAGTCATCCCATAATAACATGTTTAATTTTCGGTCCTTGAGCTCAATAACTTGCTTAGATCGTTCCTTAGCTTCCCCTATGTCAACCTATTGCGAAATTGCATGGAACTGCACATCTTGTTTGACCATCTTTCTTCGATCACTACTTCAATATAGCAATGCGTCACCAATCACTGTGTTAGGAACATTTGTAATTTAGATTTTGATGATATTAAAAATTATGAATTTTAATTCCTAATTTATTTTATTTCTTAGGCTTAGGATCTGTATCACTCAATTTGAATTATCCAAATGTTAGACCGAATGGTTACGTTTCGGATAGCAAGATACAGACTTCGAAGAGTTGAAGATCTAAAGAGTTCGAGATGAAGAGTCGAAGAGTAGAAGACTTCAAGACCGAATTTCAAAGGTCAGATAGTGGAAAGACAACTATTCGAGACCAAGAAGCAACAAGTGTTAAAGTTTGAAACGTCAACTCGAATAGTGACAGTTAACTGTTTAAAAGGACTACTCGAGACATTCTCTGAGCAAACAGTTCCAAACCTTAAAACGTTAGTGTTTTATGAGAATATGTGACCAATTAAGGCAAAGTGAATCATAGGTTCACATCCCAATAAGGATTTTTCTTTAAAAGCCTAGACATTTTGTGCAGAATAAAAAGTAAAATTCAGTGCAAAAAGGGTGGTCTAACGGTTGGAAAGTCTGACACGCAAAAGCTACTTTCTGAATTACACATTGGTCTCTCCCCGTTGGTCAATAGATGTTTGAAATGGGCTTCACTCCAACGGACACATTTCAAAATGCCTATAAATACCTTCATTCAAAGCTAAAGAAGTTGCTGGTTTTTTCAACGAAAAATTATCAAGTGTTCAAAGTTTTCAAGTGCTTACTCAAGTAACCAGTTTTTAGAGGGAGACAAAGCCTAAAATTAAAAAAATAAAAATAAAATAAAATAAAAAAAGCCAAAAAAAAAAAAAAAAAAATCTCTCTCTCTCCATATTTACTTTAATGCTGCTTGTATCCATTCATACTCACAAACATTAACTTCTCGAAAGATCAAACTTACGTGCAAAATCACTTAAAAGGGGTTAAAACATTTCCATTATGAAAAACTCAACAAATCGTTAACCGTTAACTAGAAAAGAAGTAACCCTTCGGAGCTCCTTAACTGAATCATAATGCTCTCCCTCCCCCATCTAGACTTATAACTCAAACCTTTCGGGACCAACACACTAATCCCCCCTGCATAACTCTACCCCGTTCAGTTTGTTAAACATTATGTATAATAAATGGGTTAACAAGATGATGGCTTTGACATAGTTATTCTTGGGTAACTAAGGATAGCGTTGTGAACACAACGGAACATAACCACTACAAATGCTGTTGCGGCTCACAAGATGTTAAGCTATGTTCCAAGTTCATATAGCTCTCATCAATCTTACATTAATCTACGAGTTTATACCTAATTTGGTCCCTCGACTATTACGATTTCACCACTTTAATCTTCGACTACCAAAGTTGTTCAATTTAGTCCTTAACTATGCAACATTTACTTAAAATGATCCCTTGACTATTAGAATTTCACCACTTTGATCATTGACTATAAAAGTTGCTTAATTTAGTTCCTAACTATGCAATTTTTACATAAAATGGTCCCTCGTCTATTAAGATTTCACCACTTTGGTCATCGACTACCAAAGTTTCTCAATATCAAAAATGTAAATTATATTTCGGGAAAGTACATTATTTGGGTATTGAAAATACATTATTTTGTATAGTGTACATTCAGTACACATATAATGTATTTTTAATATATTAAAAATGTACTTTTTTATGGTACGCACAACACTGTGTTGGGCAAATTTTACGGACCATGGTCCTCTAAAACGATGTTGTTTCTTTTAATGAAAAGAAATGACACCCGTTCCGCGTAATTAGTTTTGTCTGTATAACATATTCAGTTTCATTTTGTATACATTGTAGTTTTATTTCAGCACAACTAAAGTTTTATTTTGTTTCAACTACAGTTTAATTTGGCATTATACATACAGATATCTTATTACAGTGAGACAAGTTATTACAACACCACTAAATTATAGTTCTAATTAACTACAGTTTCATTGGACAATATACACTTAAATATGTGAAACTGTTATTCAGTTTCATTTTACTTACACTGTAGTTTCATTACAACACAACTAAAATATCATTTTAATATACCTACAGTTTCATTTGACAATATACACTCAATATGTGAGACATGTTATTCAGTTTATTTTTTATACATATTGTAGTTTCATTTAAGCAAAACTAAAGTATCATTTCAATTCAACTACAGTTTTATTTGATAATATACACTCAATATGTGAGACATGTTATTCAGTTTCATTTTATACATATTGTAATTTTCATTTCAACACAAATAAAGTATCGTTTTAATTCAATTACTGTTTTATTTGATAATATAAACACAATATGCGAGATAAATTATTCAAATTTCGTTTTAAATATACTGTAATTTTATTTTACTCTGAACACATTAAAAATACAAAATTTATTAAAATTTAATGACTGTCGTTTCTTTACTTAAAGAAACAACTCCGTTTCCAAATTATAATTCACAGAACTATATATATGATGGTCCACCGTATAACAATTGGAGTGTGTTGACACCATGATCTGCACACTAATTTGGTGTGGACTTATTATTCCACACACGGGTGCGAGGATTGTGGTGGTAATCTCGCAGGCTCAGGCTGACGCCATTGCCAACTTGCCAGTCCTAAACTATCCCAGCCCGATAGATAACCCGTTTTCAAAAGCTTTCGTGTGTGTCTATGTTCCACTCAACCCTAGAATTAGAAAGAAGTCCAAAAATAATTTTTAAATTAAAGAATATAAAACAGCAAAACACCCAACGGAGTCTCTGTTTCTTCTGCTCCTCTTTCTCTTTACTCTCCCGCTTTGTTTCTCATTCCTCTCCCTCTCTCTCATTTGTTTAGGTAAAATCCATTGCTTATGAATGGAAAGAAGAATAGGAGAGTAATATCAGAAGGTTGATGATGGGATTAAAGTTCCAAGAAAGGAAGAACACGAAATTCAACCAAATTTTGTGGAGCAAGCAAGGAAGGTGAGCACACAACTCAAGATTTCTCCAACTTTTACACTCAACTTTCAATGCAATCCGCTTTACATATTCACGCTCGATACCCATGGATTCCACAAAATACCCACATCCCAACTCGTAAACTATCCTTCCTCTCTAACTCCACAACCTCTCTTAAACCCTTCATTGCCACGAATTCTCTCAAGACCCCTGTGAACTTTGGGTGCTGCTTCGGAGAAGAAGAGGACTTCAATCTCGACTACCCGTTCACTCCTTCGCGTCTTCCAGTAATAATTCGCCAGCCCAGTGGCATCTCTCAGTACTGTTGGGACGGGAATGAGCTCAAATTGGTATCTCTTGACGGAAAGTCACTCACTTTATCCGACTTCTGTCTTAATTTTGAGCAAGGTTTTCAAAGATTGGTTTGCGTGTTTGGCTCTGCTGTAAGGAATTTCTTCCTTCCAAAGGAGACTAGTGAGAATTACTTGGAATATGTGAAATGGAAGTTCGTTCATAGAGTTTTCAGTTCTGCTCTTCAAGTTCTCGCTACGCAGGTATCTCTGTTTCAATTCTTGATTAGTACCCTGAAGTTATAGAGTTTAAATTCTTGGATGCTCAGCTTAGATGATGCAATTTAGTTGAAAGATAACTTCAGTTTGGGAATTTGAATGCATACCTACTTGTTAGCAGTGATTTTTGTGGTTTCAAAATAGTGAGTAGTGACTATTTACTTTTGGTACGCCCTTATGAGGCTAAGTATAATAAGAAAAGGAACGAAAATATGGTTGTGTATTTCATAACAGGGAATGTAATATGATGCTTAGGATTTTTTGTTTTAATGTTATGTGCTTTCATAAATCATGAATCCCAAGTGTCCTACAGCTTTGATGAGAATTGGTTCTTATGACAATTCTTGATTTGTGAATTCTATCTAGGCAATGTTTCGAGCAATCGGGGTTGGCTATTCTCATTCACTTCCATCTGCAGCTGCACTCAATTGGGTCTTGAAAGATGGGCTTGGACGACTTTGCAGGTGCATCTACACTGCTACTCTGGCATCTGCTTTTGATACCAATCTCAAGGTATAGCTTTTACTTCCACCATGTTTTTTTTTGCTCATTTAGAACTACTAATTGCATGGATTTTTTATTTTTATTTTTATTTTGTGATTCAACAATTATTTTACTGTGTTGTATAAACCATTTTGAGATTTTATGGTGATTACAGAACTAAACCTTTACAGTAGGAGCCATGAAAGCAAAGCACAATTATAAGAATGCATCATGGCTATGTGATACGAAATTCTGTTTTTCTCCACTGCAGAGAGTTAGATTCTCAACATCTGTCCTGTTCAGTTTGAGCATTGGAATTGAATTGCTAACTCCTGTATGCCCTCAATACTTTTTGGTGCTTGCATCTATCGCCAACATTGCAAAACAAATATGCTTGGCTTGCTACTTAGCTACTGGTGTAAGTCTTCATTCAAGCACACATATATAGGCATACACGCATATATGTATTTATCATGTTTATAATTTATATATATGTGTGTGTGTGTCTACATATAATAAAAATATTTTTTCATATATCGACATCAAATAACTGTTGGGTGCTTTTCTATACCAACATGTTTATTATTTGGATTAGGAGAAAAATTAATCTGCTTTACATACAGCCTTCTAAAGATTGTGTTAGTCTATCTAATATCTAATATGCTACTTACCAGACTGCTGTGCATAAAAGCTTCGCAATGTCCGATAACCTTGGTGAAGTTTCTGCAAAAGCACAGGTTTTTTTTTTTTTTTTTCTTTTTTTTCTTTTTTTCATTTTCTATAGCCTATATTCATAGTAATTCTTTCTGATGTTTGCTTTGTGTTTCAGATACAACTAGTATGCTTTGATAATCTTGGCCTTATGCTTGCGGCTGTCTTGAATATCTTGTGCCGTAATAATCCTAGGTTTTTCCCTTCCAGACATCAATTTCTTTTAACGCATAAAATTTGTATTTCATTAAAAAGTATATGGAATTTCCTTTCATTTGGCACTGTTAACCTAATGCTATTCTGCCTTTCATGCCAAATGTTGCTCCTGCAGGATGGCAATTTATATCATTTTGTAATATAACAATTTTAAGTTTCTTTTTAGGTTTATTTGTAATTTGTTGTTTCCTAACCGCTATATAATGTGTAAGATTGCAAGCAGGTCTACCATTTCTTGTATACCCAATCTTCTCAGCACTTGACCTTTACGGTATTTATCAAGGATTAAAGCATGTACATCTACAAACATTGACTAAGGTTGGTATTCAATTTTTATGCTGGAACGTTGCGACAATATTTCACAATATTTGAAGCGTATGAGCTTGTGCTTAATGATATGTAAGATGCTATCTTTTCCATTTTGCTGGGTTTCACTTAGATCTGAGATGTTATGGTCTCTTATGCAACAGAATTTTCTGTTCAGAAGAATAGAGTTCCATTATTTCTCTCCCAAGTTCATTCTTCAAGAATAAAGATGTTTACTTTAGATTTGGGGTCCGTTTGGAAACCCAGAAAATGACTTCAGGAAGTCATCTTTGAATAAACCGGATTTCCCTATGTACTTTTCCAGGACAGACTTGAGATTATAGTAAGCTTGTGGATTGAGCAGGGACGTGTTCCTTCACCTGCAGAAGTGAGCAAAGAGGAAGGTATTGAATTATTTTGGGCCAAAGGTACGTGTCTGTTGCTTTATTTTGGATAATGCTGTAATGTGGGTATATTGTTCTTATTTTCTGCTTGAGAATAATAAACAGTTTCTTATTAAGCTTTATATCAGGCAGAAAACCCTTTCCTGTCAGAATTGGTTGCTTAAATGCCAAGAATCAATTGCCAAAGCTTTCAATGATGACAATTCAAAATTTAAAAAGTTGGGATTTCTATTTCTTATGCCTGGAGAGATTTGCTAACAAAGGGGGATGCATGGAACAGGTAATTGCCAAAATAATTTCGTTATTTTCTCCCCTTACAAAAAGAACCAAAAAAGAGTTCCTATGAGAACTGTTGCTATTAACCAATCACTGGCAATCTGGCATGGCTTCAAAACGGGAAAAAGGAAAAGAAAAAGAATCGATTTTTGTAATGGCTTTCTAATAGTTGTTTTTTGTTGACCAAACAGTATGGTATACTTCTTAGCCTGCGGGAAGGAGCAGGCACTGCAGAAATCATTATGGCTCTATTACACGTAAGAAGCATTTTTTAAGCCATCTTTTGTGGAGTTTTTATTCTTTAAACGCACCATGACTACTATAACACAAACACTTTTTCATTGTTTAAAACATAGGCGTTTTATGTCCGCAAGGGTCTTCTATGTTGCTGGGGCAGGTGGGAGAGTAATTTGGACGTTTTGAACCGTTCAGATGCATTTCTTGAGGAATGGTTAGATTTGATAGAGAATGGGAAGGAATCAGCGGAAGTAAATTTGAAGTTGCTGATTGAACAGATGTCATCGTCGGGATGGAATTCTAAAAACATTCTGTTGAGCACACAAGAACAGGCTCGCTATAGTTTCCTTTCTGACTAAAGATTTTTAATGGTTATACTGATGAGGATGGGTAAAACACAGATAGAATATAGGGAGCTAGCCTGCATGGGCAGCTCAACTGGTCGCAGAGATGAAATTTGTCACAGGAGACCAAGGATTGAGTCTCACCAGTGGCAACGTGGGAGCAACCTCTTAAAATGAGGAGGGTTCCTTGTGCATAGTAAGTAAAAGTTTAGCCTCTGACCAGATTTACCCCTCCACAAATTGTGGGGGCGCCTGGGATGGGCAATTCCACCTTTTATGTCACAGGAATATAGGGAGCTCACTGAAATGTGAAGAGGAATAGAATAATAGTGAATCAGAAGGGAAAACATTCATTTATTTGAAATCATGAAATGGACTTTCAGCCTAGCAAAAGGTGCCCTGAATCTGCTGCTTGTGAGTTTAAATTTTGTCCTGATTGATTTGTGCTTGTGAGTTCTAATTTTGTCTTGATTGATTTGTACATTAGTAGTTATTTTCTCCGTCTCATTTTACATGTCAATAATTTTGTCTGTCCCATTTTACCTGTTTGGTTTATTATTCATTAAAATGTTTGGTTTTGCACAACTCAGGAATGTTTAATTGAATCTTTTCAAGTTTAGTTTACACTTATCACAATCAAGATAGATTTAATGAATTAATTAATTTGAATGTGAGTTTCATATTACTACCTGGCAAATTGTACCATAATATGTTTGAATCGCTGGAATACTATTTTTAATTTTTAAAATAGTTTAAATTCAATAATAATTAATGTATTTTTGTTTCTAGTTCCGAACCTGAACCGGTAGTTTTGGTCTGCAATTTTAATAAATTGAAACTCAGATATTGAGTTTTGGTTCTAAATCGTAATCGGAATCCTTTGGTTTGGTTGCTACCATGTCTAGTTCAAGTTTGGATCAAGGCTTTGTTTGGCAACGCTAAGCTAGGAGCTTATAGCTTATTTTAAGCTACTAATAAGCTATAAGCTCTGTTTGGTAATGTTCCCAAAACAAGCTCCTAGCTTAAAATAAGAGCTTATTTTGGAACGCTACTTTAGGTAGCGTTTCAAAATAAGCTCCTAGCTTCCTAACTTTTTTTCCATCTTTACCCTTATTATTTTAAAGTAATGACATGTTTTAACCTTATGAATTAAAACCCTTTCTCTTCCCCTATCCCAACTTTCACGTCAATCCCTTCCTTAGTCTTGTTTCCTGCTAAACAATTATGTTGAAACTTTAGCTTATTATTATTATTATTATTATTATTATTATTATTATTATTATTATTATTATTATTATTGTTGTTGTTGTTGTTGTTGTTGTTGTTGTTGTTGTTGTTATTATTATTATTATTATTATTATTATTAATGTTATTTTAAAATTAGCAATATGGCTTCAATCTCAAATTGAACAAGAGCCGTCAACGAAAATTTAAGTCACACCTCTAATATCTCAAATTCAAAGTAGTAATACCTCCATCAAAGAAAATTTAAGTCACACCTCTATGGAGATGAAGGAGATTCGCAACAATATTGCTACTTCATTATGGGATGCTAGATCATGATCATGCTAATAGTTTTATTTTAAAAAGTGTTTACTTTTTTGGAAGACGAAATGTTAAATTTTAATATGTAAACAAATTAATTTAAATTTTATAAAGATGTCCTTTTTAGTCTTTTTACATTTATCAGCTTATCAAAAAGCTAATTTTACCAAACACTTTCAATCATAACAGCTCTTCAATTTTCAGCTCCGAGCTTATAGCTTTTCAACTTTCAGCTCTTTTTCAGCTATCAGCTCCTAGCTTATAGCTTTTCAGCTAGGTTTGCCAAACAGAGCCCAAATTGTGATCATTTCTACATATAAGCAATAATTTGTTAGAAAAGAAAATTAAATGAAATATTTATTTTAAGAGTAAAGATGCCTATTTAACATATCATGGAGAAAATTGTTACTTTTAAAATAATTGAGGAACTAATGTGGATACATTAATAATTCATGACAAAAAAATGTTATAAGTATATAATAATTCAGGGACAAAATGTGTCATTTTTCATTATTATTATTATTGTTATTGTTATTAATTATTAATAAAATATTTTTTTTTTAAAAAAAAGTGACTGTCAACCATCATGGCATCGCCAGCCGAACTTTTTTTTTTTTAATTTTTTTTTTTTAGTTTTTTACAAAATTTAATATTTTAATTTTAATAAATTATTATTATTATTATTATTATTCAACATTTATGTCATCAAAATATATTAATGTGGCATTTCAATCACCTTTTTATTTGGAAGTTACCTGTAATAACAGGTCAAATGGGGTAAATTGCACTTTTTTTTTTTTTTTTAATTTCTAAGTTCATGTGTCTAATTGGCGTTTTTCTAATTCGAGAGTTTAATAACAATTTTATGAATAGTTCAAGGACTTATTTGACTCTAATCCCTTATGAGATGTTTGGTTCACGAATCTCAGCGATTATACTGTGGACCGTGGTCCACAAAGCTTTGTGGACCATAGTCCAAAAACAACATCGTTTCTTTAAGTAAAAAAACGGCAGACGTTACAGGTTAACGGAGTGCATATTCTTTGTATGTTAATTACCAAATGAAACTATAGTGTATCTAAACTGACACTGTCTCACGTATTATTTTTATATTATCAAATAAAACTGCAATTGAATTGAATTGAAATTGTAGTTGTGTTGAAATGAAACTGCAGTGTATACAAAAATAAAACTGAATAACAATTTCACATTTTTTGTGTGTATATTGTCCATCGAAACTGTAGTTATATCAAAATGATACTATAGTTATGTTGAAATGAAACTGCACTGTATACAAAATGAAACTGAATAACAGAGTTACTGTTTGCGGAATGACGCGAAACGGGTGCCGTTTCTTTACATTAAACAAAACGACGCCGTTTTGATGCCTGGACTACAATACATTGTGGACCGCGGTCCACAGTAAAATTTACCACGAAATGTTAGATTACCTTAGGGAATGCTAGATTACTTAGAATGTTAGGGTCCGTTTACTAACGGAAACTGTTTTCTATTTTATATTTTCTAATTTTTTAGTTTTCATTTTCTGTTTAGGAAACTTGTTTACTAGCATTTATTTTATTTTTTTTTAAATTAACGTTATAAAATTAAAACAAGTTTAATATCCGAACCAAATATATATGTATATAACATAACTAAAAATACATCCGAACTAATAACCTATTAAGTTCACCTAAAATTTAGTTTAGATAATATAAACAAAATGATGTCGTTTTGATGCCTGGACTACAATACATTGCGGACCGCGGTCCACAGTAAAATTTGCCACGGAATGTTAAATTACCTTAGGGAATGCTAGATTACTGGAAATATTAGATTACCGAGAATGTTAGGGTCCGTTTACTAACGGAAACTGTTTTCTATTTTATGTTTTCTAATTTTTCAGTTTTCATTTTCAGTTTTAGAAAACTTGTTTACTAACATTTTTTTTCTAGATTAACGTTATAAAATTAACACAAATTTAATATTCGAACCAAATTTATATGTGTATATATATATATATATATATATTTTTTTGAAGGATATGTGTATATAACATAACTAAAAATACATCTGAACTAATAACCTATTAAGTTCACCTAAAATTTAGTTTAGATAATATTAATATTTTTTTGAGCTAATATTTAAAACTATTTTAAATATATTCATTTGAGTGAGATGTATATATATATATATATATATATATATATATATATATATATATATATATGAAATTTTAATATCTTCCATCTGGACTAAACTTGTATTACAATATAACATAATTAAAAAATCCAAACCAATAATCAATCGAGTTCAATCAAAATATAAATCTTGGTATAGAGTTTTATTTTTAATTTTGATCATGTAAATAATGTCTAACTTTAGTTTTAAGAAAATAAGTTATGTTTAAATAAGTAATACAAGTAACCAGCTTGGTTGGCGTGAGTAGTCGTGGGCAAATTATACTGTAAACCGCGGTCCACAATGCTTTGTGGTCAAGGTATCAAAAATACACTGCAGTTTCATTTCAACACAACTATAGTATCATTTTGATATAAGTACAGTTTCGCTAGACAATATACACTCAAATATATGAAATTGTTATTCAGTTTCATTTTGTATGCACTGTAGTTTTATTTCAACATAACTACAGTTTCATTTCAATTCAATTGCAGTTCCATTTGATAATATAATAAAAATAATACGTGAGACAGTGTTAGTTTAGATACACTATAGTATATGTCGTCATGGATTATGGTTCACAAAGCTTTATGGACAGCGGTACACAATATAATTGTTGAGTGGTCGTGCACTCTTGTCCCTTAAGAGAGGTCGGGAGTTCAAAATCCCTTTTCATATGGAAAAATCAATCTGACCAGCAACTGAAGAGTATGGTATGAGTTTAAAGGTACTTCTTACAGTTAGGACCTGCATCTTATGATTTGACAAAAAAAAAATGTAATTTATAATAATGTGTCATTCTCGATGAAAATTACATAACATAAATCAAATATAAAAATTTTATATTTCCAAGCAAATATAACCTTAATTATATAACTCTGAATCAAACACTTTATAATGTGGATCATAATAATTTACAATATAATTTGTCCAATTCGGAATGGAAGTGCAAAAGCCAAGAGACGTTTGGATACGCGGATAAGTGGATAACCACTGTTTGGGGAATAGGAACTAGGAGGCGTCAGATAATAACATGCGCCGTTCTATAAAAGGGTTTCCTCACATACATGCGCAAATTAGGGTTCCTCAGTACGCTTCACCGGATCTGTCTGAGCTTCATCGTTGATTCAATCGCAGAAACATCGTTAATCGCAGAACTCTTACATCTATAAATGAGAGCGCTCGTTCCCCTCTGCGATTCTGTAAGTAATACCCACAAATTCCTTTTTATTGTTCTGGTAATGATCATTGCTTGATTCTAAAAATGTAAGAATTCCCTTTGAAATTTCACTTCTTTTGGCGATTACAGGAATCTTATCAGTTCATTTTGTATGTTAGATTTGATAACTGTGGTTGCATTGTACTAATTGGGAATTGGGGAAAAGAATAAAAGAATTGCATTTTCTTTGTGATATACTGTTGCATACAACAATTGGAGCTTGGGTGCTGCTAGTTGTAGCTAAGGAGAGTTCATAAGTGTAAAGTTTCTTATGCTTAAAATGTAGTTTCAGCTGAAAAAAAGGATAGTTTCTTTTGATAGATTGTTAGCTGAAACAAGTGCACTGTTTAGTTGGTTTGCATGGGAAAATGGTGCTAGTATTGAGGGTGGCATTGGAAGCTTGGCTCTATTACTTCCTCAGAGTAGTTGCATCTTGAAAAACAAAGTGCATTGTTCACAGAAGAAAACAAATGTGGCTTATATCATATCATAAATGCAAGAAACGGGGGACGAAG